TCTTCTAACAAAATGCCCTTTAAAATAAAAATAATAAATTTTTCTCTTGAACAATTCGCCTTTAGCATGCGTCTCTCTTTTTCGCCATTTCAGTTAAATTTTAAACGTTAAGTGACACGTGAAAGTTACTGTGATATTTAATTTTTATTCTATTATGAAATAACGGTTTTGCCCTTTAAACCCATATCTATCAAAATTAAAATTAAAATTTCATAGTTTTTCTCAAGGTAGAACAAGTTGTTTCAACTCTTTCTCTAGGGATTGAACAAATTTCAGCTCAAGGTTGCAATCTTTACTCAGCGTCATTTCATCAAGTTTGTTTTTCTGTTTCTTTTTTTTCTTTGATCTTGTGATATGATCACCGATAGCTATTCCAAGATGATATCCGAGATTTCAATGCGATTGATGCTAAAAAAATGATGATTATGGTAAAGATTTGGGGATGTTGATTCATGAGCAAAGGCGTCAGCAGGAATCGAGCGAGTGAGAGAAAGAGGTCAACCTCTACTGAAGTGGCTCAGCTCTGCCAACCGTTGAGGGCTCGCTCAGCGCCGTCGGAGGATTGTTCGATGCGTTGACACAGAATGCTAGCGTAAAATCTGGCAAGATTAGGGATGAGTTCAAGAGGTCGGTCGCGCAGATGGGGTTGGTGGCTGTTGATCTGGCCTCGCAGTAGGTGGATCGCGCGGGGGTGTTGTTCACCAAGGCTGGGGTCACGCGAGAACTGGAGAGAGAGAGATTTTCATTTTTGATTTTTTTTGATTTTATGTTTTTTATTTTAAGCATTGAAAAATACTTATTCTACTAAAATTTTATTCATGGAAAAATTACTCATTTGCCCTTAAAATGAGAGTCACATACTACTAACGTGATACTTAATGTTCAAAATTTAACTGAGGGGGCAGAAAAGGGAGAAGCGTGCTTACGGCGAATTGTTTAGGAGGAAAATTTGTTATTTTTAAACTTTAGAAGGCCAATAGTTCAGAGAGAATAAATGTAATTTGTCTTAATTAAAATCATTAGTTTGAACCCTCATTTAAACACATACCATATAAATTTTAGTTCAAAGAATGTTTTCTTTTACAAAAACATGAATTTAAAAATTTTGTGTTATAGTCTCACAAAAGTTAAATTGTACTTCAAATTTGAACGTACATTCTAAACATTCTAAATGGGCATTTATTTTTAGATGATATTTGATGATATCTTTTCTCTTTTCTCTTCCGTTGTGAGTTTTTCACCTTTTTTTTTTCTGATTTACACGCGTGGGAAGATGGTGGATACATGTTGAGTAATTTGGCCTTTTAAGTGATTGTCTAAATTTTAATTGGGACTCTCATTTTTTAAAAAAGTGCAAAATAGATCCTACTAAAAGGAACTTCTTGCAATTTAATCCTTTAAAATTCTAATTGTAGCCCCATAATAATAATTTGTTCCACAAAACTCTTGGGATATTTTTCACACATAGAGAACAATATCTTTGGCAATGGTTCTTATTTTACCTCTTGTTAAACCTAGGCTTATTCATTTATTCTCAAATATTTTGCGCGCTCCCGTTCTTATGTGAGATTCTCACGAATTATGCCCGATTTGCTTTCAATTCACTAATTATGCCTGATTCGTTTTAAATAATAAGGTCGAAGTGAGAAAACAAGTTAAAATGCTCGGTTTCTCCATCTTTGGCCATAGTTATCATCTAGCCTTATTTATTTATTCTTTAATATTTTGCACGCCCCCGGTATTCGTACTTGAGAATCTCAATAATTAGCCCTGATTCGTTTTAAATAATAACGGCAAATCAAGAAAATAAGTCAAAATACTCGGTTTCGCAATCTTTTGGCATGGTTCTTATTTTACCTCTAGTTAAGCCTAGGCTTATTTTTGTTTATTCTCTAATATTTTGCGCGTCCTCGTCTTTCTTATGTGAGAATCTCACAAATTATGCCTGAATCACTTTAAATAATAAGGGTGTAGCGAGAAAAAAATTAAAATACTCAGTTTCTCCATCTATGGCCATGGTTAGCTAAAAATCTCTAGTTAAGCCGAGCCTCATATTTATTCTTTAATATTTTGTGAGCCCCCGTTGTTTGTAGGTGCGAATCTTACTAATTAGGCCCAACTCGCTTTAAATAATAATGTTGAAGCGAGAGAACAAGTTAAAACACTCGGCCATCTTTGGCCATGGTTATCTTTTAACCTCTAGATAAGCAAAGCCTTGTTTATTTATTCTTTAATATTTTGCGCACCCCCAATTTTCATACTTAAGAATCTCTATAATTAGGCCCGATTCACTTTAAATAATAAGGGTAAAGTGAGAAAATAAATTATAACACTCGGTTTCTCCATTTTAGGACATGGTTCTTATTTTACCTCTAGTTAAGCCTATGCTTATTTTTGTTAAGCATAGCCTGGTTATCTTTTAACCTCCAGTTAAGCATAGCCTTGTTATTTATTCTTTAGTATTTTGCACGTCTCTAGTTTTCATACTTGAGAAACTCTGTAATTAGGCTCGATTTGCTTTAAATAATAAGGATAAAGCGAGAAAACAAGTTAAAACACTTGGAGCGTGTTTGGTATCATTTCCGTTTTCATTTTTTACGTTTTCTGAGATAAAAAGAAAGCAGAGATTGAGGAGGAAAACACATTTGGAGGAAAAAATGTGAAAAAAATGACAACAAAAACGATTTCAGTTTTGTGTAAAATGACTTAAAAACTGAAAACGAATTTAAGTCATTTTTCATTTTCAGTTTTGGGTGGATGCCTTTTTTTTAGGCAAATGGGTGTGGGCTTAAATGAACTAATAAAGTCCTCTTAAATTAAAAATAAAAATTGCATAACCAAACAGAGTTTTAATTTTTTTTTATACTAAAAACAATCTCTTAATAAAATACTAAACTCATTTTCAGAAGCGATTTCTGTCTAAAATTGAAAACGTTTTCATTTCTAAATTCATATAAAAAACATAATCATTTTCGAACTAATTCTAAACGTACTCTTAGTTTCTGCACCTTTCGCCATGGTTATTGCTTAACATCTAGTGAAGCCTAGGCTTAATTTTTTTTATTCTCCAATATTAAGCGGTCCTCCATCCTTCATATGTGAGAATCTCATGTGAGAGAAATGATAAAACAATAATCACTACAATTCGTGAAAAAAACAATAATCATTATCAACATAAGAAATACAATTAATGGTAATTATATTATACCATTATATAAACTACAAACTTATTTGTTTTAGACCAAAACAAAAAACAAAAACAAAAAACCTTCAGCAGTAGAAAATATAAAAGCAAAGACAGCACCAATATGAGCATCCGCAGACGAAGCCATCAAAGATTCCCCTTCGCATTGTTTTCTTTAGGAATGAGATAGGAAGATGATTATCGTATTATTTTTGTTTTCTTAGAATGATACCTTATCAGTGAAGAAGTTTTATAATAAAAAACCACCAAGATTGTTCTATTATTTTTGCTTTCTTTCTATTGTTTATTATTCTGAAGATAGCTTATCAGTGAAGAAGCTTTTCTAATAAAAAATCACCAAGATTATTTCCCAAGTTTTGTTTATTGAATAAAAAAAACTATACAATTAAGAAAATGGCATTGCATTTAATAAATAAAACTTAACAAAAAAAACAGTGATTGTTAATTCCTATTTATAACCAAAGCTTTAGGGGCATTTTTTGGAATGCAAAAATGGTGGGAGAAAACTGGGGGGATCGGTTTTCTAATGGCTTTATGAGAAGGAAAATTGCAAATTCCCATGTGTAATTATTACACTTTAGATCTTAATCTAATGGATAATTTCACTATTTAAGTGGGATCGGTTTTCTCGTAGCTTTGGGAGAAGGAAAATTGCAAATTCCCATGTGTAATTATTACACTTTAGATTGTGCATCTGAGGGTCGGAGAATTAAAATTATGATATTAATATTATTTTTAATTTATATATTTTTTATAAAAAAAAATACTGTAATAAATTATTAATTATGATTCAAATTATAAAATAAATTTTCTAATTAAATAAGTGAATTTATGTTATAATTTAAATCATAATTCATAATTTATTATAATATTTTTCTCATAAAAAATATATGTAAACTAAAAATGTGATTTCCATTTAATTGGGATCGGTTTTCTCATGGCTTTGGGAGAAGGAAAATTGCAAATTCCCGTGTGTAATTATTACACTTCAGATCTTAATCTAGTGGATAATTTCCATTTTTGCTTATGGTTTGTTAACTAAAGGATTCCTTCCAATTAAGGTAAGATTCCTCATCAACAATTTACACTTCAACACTTCAACACGACATGGTATGGGAGAAGCAAAAATTTTTGCCCTCTTCCTCTGTACAATTGGCGCCAACTTCTTACCCTTTCCTTTCTTTCTTTTTTTTTTTTCCCCCTTAATGGGAGATTCAATCCTAGCCCTTAATTTGAATTTCTATCAAATTCTAACCATTATATTAGAATCCTTTCTTAAGACATCTCTTGACGTGAAAAGAATCTTATCAGTAAAATTTTATTTGAGTAGTTTAAGATCTCGTTCATTAACTGTAGTAGAAAAAAATAAATTTAATATTTTTTAAAAATTTTTAATTATAAAAATTTAAAATTTAAAATTCAAATTGATAAAAAAAAACAAGATCTTAGTCTCAATATATTTTTATACTGACAGTATCAATTATTCCTACTGATTAAGTGGCATGAGTTAGCATGATTGGGTCTTAGATTTGAATATCGTTATAATGCGATTATTTGTTTTTTACGCGTTCTTTCGGGAATTTTATCTCTCAATATTACAGAATAATAAATTCCAATTTTCTTATACTATATCCTGTCTTAGCGTGAATGACAATCTCCAACTATTGGTCTTGACACTTTTATTTCTGAATTGAAATTCACATGATATTTTTATTCGAGAACTTAAATTCACATTTAAGAATAATAAATGTGACCCTTGACACAAAATAAAATCGTCTTACTTAGTATTAGAATTTCACATTATTAAAATGTGCGAGTTAACAAAAAAAATTCATTATCATCCTAGAGTTGTGCATACATAATAGCATTCAGAAAAATCCTAATGGATCGATCATCCTAGAGTTGGAAGCAGCAGATCGGAGATTGGATATCGATTTCGTCATCATCGACAATATGTTACAACATGACAGTAGAAGGGAAGATACAAGAAAGGAAGGAATAGCAATTAAAGGAGGAGAAAGATGAAAAGGAGGCAATAACCAAGAAGAAGTAGATCAAGTCAAAAACGGTAACTTCAATATCATGTTACAATGAGGATAACCACAATTGAGTTCCAACTATTTAGACCATTGATATCAATTCTGAGCAGTGTCACTTTTCCCCGTTAAAGCTTCACTAAGAATCAAGCGAGTAAGAGACAATTTGGGAAGCACTAAACCAATTTTTTTTTATTTTGGCGGGAGTCTTCTAAGTAGATACTTCTCATCTTGTCTGAATTCTCATCAAATCAGCAATGAATGGATCAATCTTCATTCCTCAATTACGGGCGAGACCCACATAATCTATCGGCCCATATGGCTGAGAGAATTCAGCAAAAATTCCCTTCTTTCTTTTGTGTTGTAGTCCCATATCTTTGCACAATTGGTCATTGTACCAAATATTAACACTACCAATGCATGATCTCGCAATATATTTTCCACTGTATAGTTTCAAGTTATTTTCCCACCTCCTCACATTCTTTTGCATCTCTTTTATGCTTGGCAATTGAAAGCTCCCACTTAAGAGCTCTACTAGCCACCGACATCTAATCTCAGAGTTCAACAAATTGGAGAAACCTTCTGCATATCCTATTATTGCTAATTGTGGGATCCTTGGATGAATTATTTGCCTGCCAGTAAAGTAACATAAATAATGTTTCATTTAAAATTTCAACAAGGACAGTGTTAATAAAGACTGTATTACTATAAGCAGGTCTAGATAAGGTTCTATAATCACCTATAAAGAGGGACCATTGAGGATTGTGATCCAATGATGTGATTTTGAAAAATTGGAGAATTAAACATGTTTTTTAGCTTTTGGTCACCTCTATACCCGGTTGCTAGAATGACAACATCTGTTTCTAGTGGCTGAGATTCTCCATCTATGATCAAACCTTTTCTGCAGAATCCAAAGCTTTGTGATTTTTTCAATATGATGCTTCCTTGTTCCACTTTATTATAAAAGTTCTCAGGCAGTACAGCAATTGTGCACGAGGAAATGTCTTGAAGGAAGCTGCTTTTGGGTACCATGCCAAACTTTTTCAATGGGAGTTTCCATCTAAGATAGCTCTCAGCAAATTTCGAAATTGCCCATCTCTGGGAAAATGAGAATTCATCATCAAAGTAAGTAATATGGTAGTTTTTGCCCATCTAAGATAGTTAATATACAGTTGAGGATTACCAAGGGGGAAAGCAAAGTGGCCAAAATGCGGAGAAGGAATGTTTCACCAGGCTTATGAATCAAAAGCTCCGAGAAGCGAGTGAAGTACAAGAAGCCAAAATTGACTCCCCACAAATTGTGACTTGGGAGCTGCCAATGGACAGTCCTTTGAATCATTGTGCATGGATATTCCACTCCTGTTGAAAAAGAGGGAAAGATTAAGGGGAGCGTAAAATACATCTTCACCATTTCTAAGATCAAGTAGTTGTGAAACAAAAAAAAGAAACCGAAAAGAGGGAGAAGGAGAAGAAGAAAGAGAAGCTTCTCAAATGAAATGCATTAGATTGATTACCCAATCTTATTCCAAAGTATTTAATTAGTACCTGAAAATTCTTTTATGAAGCCTTGTAGAACCACACGCATAACAGTGAAGGTACTACTAGAAATGAACTTAATATGCTGGTAAACGATAATATTTTACATGGATTTGATTGAAAATTTTCTCACCATTTTTGTCTGAGCATTCTGCTGCTATGTCAACTGCAGATTTCTGAGAACCAACAATTGTAACTCTCTTTCTTCTGATCACCTCAGCAGCCTTATCATTATTCATTGCTGAATAGTCCATGGAATGAATCACCTCACCATTGAACACCTCTGGCCCTTGATTTGGAGGAAACTCTGGGATGTTTGGAACTCCACTAAATCTCCCAATGCAGAGAATCACAAACTCAGCTAGGTAAACCTGATAAAAAAAAAAAAAAAAAGACCAAATCTTCAACCAAAAATAAAAAAAAAAAAAAATAGACCAATTCTTCAACCAAAATTAAAGAAAAAAAAAACCACTACTAAGAGCACATAAAAAAAATATAACATATATATATATATATATATTTGTATGTATGTATATAGACCTCTGTTGAGAAAGTCTTGGTATTTTGCATGACAATACGCCACTTCCCTTTAGAGTCAAATGGCTCGCCTGTTCCACTCCATAACTCCCATGCGTCCATTTCTTCATAGGACTCTCCAACATAATCCAATCTAATGACTTTGGAGTTGAACTTTATGTAAGGAAAAAGACCAAAGTGTTGCGCATAAGATTGAACATACTCCAAAACTTGGTTGTGACTAGGAAACATCTCTTTCACTGAACTAAGCCATGGATAATCCAAGAACTGGTAAGTCTCTTTGACGTTCTGGAGTTTTGTTGACGCTGTAGTGTGATTCCAAAGCCCTCCTACACCTTCTTCTGCTTCAAAAACAATGGGGTTAAATCCTTTCTGTAAAGCATACTTGCAGGCTAAAAGGCCGCTAGTTCCTGCCCCTATAATTACCAGATTACTAATTCTCTCCATTGTCAAAAAAATAATGGAGTTAAGGGAATTTGATAATATTATAAGATAAGAGACTTGATAAAAAGGAGATATATTAATTGACTTCTATATGTTGAGGATAAGTTGAGACTTGGAGGGTGTCCAGTACACTATGATTTTGGTGGATGTATAGTTGGTTTCTAATCCTTTTTGTCTGATTCTCTGGTTTCGGGCACATCTTTAGAATGACAAGCATAAAGGTACTTTCGACCTGTCAATTCAAGAATACACCCATTGAAGGCAGGGGGAAAAAAAAAACTGTATACATCTTTCTCCTTTTTCAACTCAATCTTTTTGAAATAATTGAATTATGAATGTGTATAATTAATTACTTGATGACTATGGTTGACGTGAAAATTTATCAACGAAATTAATTCAGGTTTAGAAGTGATTTTAACGACTTAATCTTATTTTGAGAAGATTTTTTAAAGTTAATCAAAGAGAAAGAACACTAAAATTTATAGTAGTTTATTTTTTTGATTCAAGAGTTACGTCCACTGTAAGAAGAGAAAAATCTTTACTATCTTCTGAGAATACAAGTTACAGAATGCGCCCCCTAGGCATGTCATTTTCTCTCGTATATATTTGTTCTGTCTTCCCTCCACCTCTGCCATTTGCATCAATACATTCCATCATTACACTCTATCCTGTTGTCTCCATATTTTTGGATGTAGTCCTCGGTAGGTAGAGTTTTTGCTAATCAACAGTGGTCTTTCACCTGCTCCTCTACCAACTTTATTTGCTTACAAGTCACGTAAGATATCCTGCAGATTTAGTTTTTCTCGGGCTGCGTGCAATAGGCTTTTCATGCACTTATCAAGCCATCTTCGCTTACGTCTACTTGGTGCAGTTGACTTCTCGCTTGTCCTGATGCCTTTGTACGGTCGATCTCTTGCCTGTCCTGACTTCTCTGTACGGTCAATTTTTATAGAAATGCGAGATATTTTATGCTGAGCTGTCAAGATAACTTAATACATTGAATTGTGCCGCATGACGTTCATCCAATACATGATGTAAGGTTTTAGAATTTACCCTACAACAACTATTTTTTGTTTTTTGTTTTTAAGGATGACTTTAAATAAATTTAGGTGCACTAGAATAGTTACTATTCGTATTTCTTTTGATGAATTAATATGGGATAAGTGCAAAACTATCCCTTGTAACAACCACTGTTTTAATATTGAATTAATGACAAAATCAAAACGGCCCCCTTTAGAAAAGCGGATCTCAGGCCCAACATATGTGTTGCCAAAATTATCCCACCACGCGAAAAGGTAATGTGGTATAATCAAAAAGAAATTTAAAATATTATTTTTATTTTTAAAAAGAAAAGGCGATTGTCTGAGGTCGCCAATAACGGTTGTCGAGACAAATTTAGTAGATGTCGAAAAAGAATTTGGCAGATTTTTTTTCGACAAAAAACTTAACGATCATTTCTGGTTAGTACTAGAACTTTAGACGGGCCGCCCGAAAAATTAAGTTTTTGTTCGAGAACCCGTCCAAAAAATCCGGGCTGTCTGCTCGAGTCCGAATTTCACATTGAACGGGCCGCGGGCTTGTATTAGGCCACCCGAGCCTGGCCGGGCCGCCCGAGTAGCCCGAATTTTTTTAAAATTTTTTTTAATATTAAGTTATTTTGTGTTAAAATTTATATATATATATATATATATTACAATTTGAAATGAACACATGAGCTATAAAAAAAATTATTTCTTTATTAATTTTTAAATTTATAATTCATGATTGCCTCGTTAAAAACCTTACCAAGAAAAATCCAATTGGGATAAAAACTTGGCAAGAAAAAAAGAGTACAATCATTTTGTGACGAATTACAAATTTTACAAACTTACAAAGTTATACAATTACAAATACAATATCAAAGGTAAATACATATTTATAAATTATAAATTTACAATTTAATTTAAAGCTGAAGGATCGTCTTCAAAATTGAATGTTAATCGATTAAATTAATCGATCCATTCTTGGCTTACCGGTGAAATTGTATCTTGTAGATGTTGATCGGCCCGATCCCAATCCTTAATGCAAACCAAGGCTTCAACAATATCCCTTTGCAATGCATTCCGGCGTTCCTCAAGTATTCTTCCTGTCGTACTGAAGGCTTGTTCGGATGAAATAGTGAAGACTAGGATCACAAATATATCCATTGCCAATCGAGTTAGGATTGGCCAAGTTAATGCCCGTGCCCTTCACCATTGAACTAAGTCAAACGATTTTGCCGTACTGCCGACTACTAAGTCTTCATTGAGGTACACCATAAGCTCGTTGAAGCTGCCGCCACCGCTGCCACTGCCACTTGTTGATGAAGATTCACCCACAGCTTCTGTTTGAGTTGTCTTCTTCTTCTTCTTCAACCCGAAAATATTCAAGAATGAATGCGGGTTTTCGTCTTGTTGTTGCGGTTCCTATACTCTATGAGGTACTCTAAACCTAATCTTATATTTACTATAGATCAAATATATTTTTTCCTTTATTATTGGATATTGGTCCGAACAATTGATGCCTAAAAATTCACCTAAGTTTTCTAAACCTTCTAATTTTAATCTAGGATCAAAAATAGTACCTAAACCATACAACAAAGGCAACTTAGACCAATATTTTTTAAATTTCTTTTCCATACAATGAATAGGAACTCATAAGATTGAGTCATCTCTATATTCACTAAATAAAATATTAATTCTTAAAAGTTCAACTAAAGCTAAAGATGATGTTTGGTAGTATGTTCCACTAAGTTTTAAAGTAACTTCATGAAACCTATCTAAAAATTGATACAAAACTTCGGCAATTTGCCAATCAAATTCATTTATATGTCCTACTAGCATTATCTAATGTTATAGCCATTACTTTATCTCTTAGTCTAAA